GAAACAAACAAATTACAGAACAAAAGACCATACACTACTAAAAACACAACAATCATACCATTCGGAGTGGGGCTGGAAGTCTTTTATATTTGGAATGCCCAATTCAAACTGATTCAGCTCCTGGTGAGGTTGTAAGAGTATCAAGGCAGTGTTCAGTTAGCCCACTTCAGGCTCAAAATATTTTATACTTGGAACATTATTCACACTTATTACTCTTATACAAACACACACACACAGAGACCAGATTATCAAAATACATAATAGGACAACTATCCTAAAAAAATACTTTTAATTAAGTCAGTGGATTAATTCAGCTCAGTATTATCTACATTGGCTATCAGTAACCAGTTCCGGATATTAGGACATATCTAGGTGATGCCAAGATCTGAATACAGGGTATTTTGTATGCAAAGCATGTGTGCTTCGTTATAAAACCACAATCTATCCTCTTCTTTATTTCACTGGTCAATCAGCATCACGAGACAGTGCACTTTATATTAAGTGCTCCATTTTCATTCAGTTCCCTATAAGAAAAGTTGCCTGGCATTTCTAGGGGACAATGAACAGGGTCATCGGAGTTGCAGGTGGCTAGCTGGTTGTATACTGTGCAGGAGTGGACTGGGGAGTGAAAGCTGAAATGGTATCCTTAGCATCAGTGACAATGCTTGAAAACAGCAGGTGAGGTTTTCACAGCAGGGAAATAAACACTATTGCTGATGAATGTTTGCAGATCACAATGCCCTCGCAGGGAATGGTTTATAACCTGAGGGTCTTATATTGTGGGTAGGCTAGGTGTAGAAAGCCATTTCCTATGCCAATGCCTTTTCACTTCCTTACAGATCAAATGTGTCATGGAGAAGGCCAAGCATTCAGCTAGCCTCCTCGGGCCCCCTTAATTTAACAAGCTGAATTGATTCTTATAGGAAGTGTTGTGTTTGGTTGAGTCAGCGACAGGTTGGAAAAAAGCTCCGATCCAATTAGCGGGGGTGGGTGGGGGGAAAGGGTCTCCAGGGATCTCCTTGCCTACTCATCCAGACAGCAGAGGAGAGCAAGACGCACAAACACACAGTGAGGGCGAGGTGATGGTGGAATGGGATAATAATAATAAAGAACCAAAACAGAAAGGTGAATTTTTATGAGCTTATTATCGGAGAAAGAGTTTGTCTCCACCATTATCACTGCTGCAAATTAAGATTTGCAAATCGTAACATGATTCCAGAGGCCTGTGGAAGCCCAGAGCAAAACTCATAGCTCTTCCAAAAAAAAAAAAAAAAATTTAAAAATGGGAAATGGAAGAAAGATTTTGATTTGATTTCTAAA